TTTTGGTTAGCAGCTGAGCTCTTAACCACTGTACCACCAGGGCTCCATATATATACATATATATATAAGTACATATATACACGTAAAACATCTTAAGAATCAATACCAAACGGTTAATGGTGATTATGTAAGTAAGGCTATGGACTCTATTTTTTAATGTGTGTGTTCTAATATTCCTACAACAAACCTGCATTACTTGTATGATAAAATATCATGAAAGTTGGGAGAAAATGAACCTGTTTCTCTCCTTGTCCTCATGGATCCTAACAGTTTGTTTTGGTGTTGTCAAACTTCATTCTTTTGTAAGGCATGTCACTCTGAAAATAAAGACTTTGCAACACGGGGGGAAGAAAGACATTAGCTAGCTGAGTTGATTTTTAAAGTTATGGCCATTGCTCCTTCCCAAACCCAAAAACCAAACCTATTGCTGTTGAGTCGATTCTGACTCATAGTGACCCTAAGGAGCAACTTCGTGGATTTCAACTGCCAACCTTTTGATTGGCAGCCAAGCTCTTAACCACTATACCAGCAGGGCTCCTTCCCAGTGTCCCTGAAAGGACACCACTAGGTGGCAGTCTGTTCTATTTAGTCCCCTGCCTGCCTTAGTCCTGGATCCAGGCACAACTCCATTCAGACATTTGAGGCCTTTGTCTGGGTCCCAAACATGACAGATAAGCCTGATGTGCCAAGCTAGGCCCCTCTAGGGCTCTCCAGGCTCAATCCATCCAGCTTTTCTTTTCCTTATATCTACCAGGCCAGCGCCAAGGCTCTGACCTACTAAGGATGAAAGTCAAGTTGGGTCCAACCTCACCCCCCACTGGTGGGAACACTCAGGAAAGGACTTGAAGTGGCTGAAGCTTATCATCTCATCAACCCCTGTAGCCAACAGCACAAAAGGACACAGAAATTATTTATTTTTCACTCTCAATGAAGAGGTGGAAAAGCCTCCCCCTCAATTCTGGTCTTTTAGTACTTGAGGAATATTCACCCCCAACCCTCCTCCCTCCAGGGAGGCTCTGATTGTGGAGATAGTAACTGAGGAGTCCTTGAGCTGGTGGGGAAGAACAAGCTCAAGTAGAGAAACATCCTCAAAGGGTAGCATCAATTTCCTGCAAACTCCCTCATGGCCTCTCCGCGGAAGCAGAAGTTATGCCAGCCCTCCGCTTCAGTCAGATCTTGGGCTCCTAGAGCTTTGTATAGGTTCATGGCCCTCTTGTTCCAGTCCAGCACTGACAGGCGCAACTGGGAGCAGCCCTTATCAAGCGCCACCTGTGGGAGAAGAAATCACTCACCTTTTTGGAGTAAAAAAAAGAAAAAGCTTTTTCATCCCTTTTAATCCAGGTGCCCCGTAAACACCCTTGCTTCTCCAGAGCCTAGCTTGTAACCCCCGCCCTAGCCAGATCATCACTGTCTTCCTCACCTCAGTCACCTTTTTGATTATTTTGGAACCAATGCCCTGACCTGTTGTGGGAAGATATAGGCGAAAAGAGTGGTGGTTTGAGTTTAAGTGATCAGAAAAGGCCACAGGCCGGGATTAGCTGGGGGGGGGGGATTGTGGTGGGGTCCGTGGGTTGCTTTGCCCCACCCCAGCCTCAGCCTCAGCCTCATACTCCGATATTCCGGCATCACGTAGACGTCTTCCAGATAGACACTGCGTCCCTTCCATGTGCTGTAAATGAAGTAGTACAGCCCATAGCCCACCACACGGGGCTCTGAGAGAGAAAGAGAAAAGGGTAAAGCCTCCAGGAGTATGGGTGAAATGTCTCTGTGGCCGACTGGAGAGGTGGATGTCTGAGGTTCAGGTGCTCCTACCTTGTGGCTCACTGTGAGGTGGAAGAATCTCTGCTACCACACAGTGAAAGAAAGGATTGTCTCCAAAACCATCTGCTCTCAGGGCTGCACATTGGAGTTGTGACAAGAGATAGAGAAACAGGTCCTGAGTGTGTGCCCGCCGTGGAGCTGCTGATCCGGGAACCGCCCCTTCATTTCCTCCCCAACCTCGTTCAGTATCCAGGTGATGAGCCCCCACCTTCTTCACTGATCTTCACCTGATCCAAGAGGTTCTCATAATCAGCCAGCTCCTACGGCGTGAGGACAGGGGCTAAAAGAAGGCAGCGGGGCCCTGCCGATCCCTGAGCAAGGCCCCAAGGCCGCCCCTCCCCTCCCCTCCCACCCCACCCTCCCTTGGGCCGAGCCGCTCTGCCCCCTCTGGGGCCCTGGTTTCCGGCCTGCGGTTTTCACCCGAATCATCCTCAGAATGTCTCCACAGTCTCCCTCCTCGGCCTCTCGGATCCGCACGGAAGCCATCCCGGTCTTCGTGGTCTGAACCAAAGTCTAGGATCCCCACTTTCGTTCTACAGGATTGGGCGAAGGGCAACTAGTACCCTTCAAAACGCCTACAAGCTCGTATCCCGAAAAACCCGGAAGGGGTGGTGGTGGGCGGGGCGGTGGGGCCGACGCGCCCTGGAAAGTGAGGCGACGGGCAGAGGGCGTGGCCCGATGTGCTGGTTGGTCTTCACCATCTGGGTAGCCCCTAAATTCTGTCCCCGCGGGCACAAACCGGCCAACCAATCAGCTTGTAGAGTAGGCGCTCCCTCGCCCCGGGCCCCGCCCCCCCACTGGTCGGGTCTTGTGACTCGGTCTGCGGGCAGGGATGTAGGTTAGACTATCGAGGCTTTCTCGTTGTTCCTGTGGGTACCAACCGCAATCGGAGACACCGTAGGGCTCGAAAGTCACCTCCGCCCCATCTTTTTTAAAATTTTTTTTTATTGTGGTGAAAACGTATACACCTAAACATTCGCCAGCACAATTTCCACATTTACAATTCAATGACACTGATGACATTTTTCGTGTTGTGCCAACCATTACAGCTATTCTTTTCCAGGATAGTCCACCACCATTGACCTAAACTTAATGTCCCCCAAACAAAAACTGACCCCCTTCTTTAATTGAAGTCTGCAGTGGATACCTGCTTTACTCTTTCCTCACTCCACAAACCACCCAGACCGTGGTTAAACTCTAAGACCCCAGCTCTGAAAACCTTTTCCTCAGCTTTTTTGTAGCCCAAAGTGTTACCTTTCTGGGGGCATTTGCATTTTTAAATGGGTCAGAGAGCGGGTAATAGACTTCTAGTACAATGTTGGCCCTTGTAACAAATGGATGGAGCCCTGGTAGCCCTGTGGTTAAGAGCCCAGCTGCTAACCAAAAGGGCAGCAGTTCAAATCCAATAGATAAAAAAAGGAAAAAAAAACCAAACCTGTTGCCATCCAGTCGACTCCGACTCATAGTGACCCTAAAGGACAGAGTAGAACTGCCCCATAGGGTTCCCAAGGCTGTAATCTTTACGGAAGCAGACTGCCACATCTTTCTCCCACTGAGCCTCTGGTGGGTTTGAACTGCCCAGCATTCCGTTAGCAGCCAAGAGTTTAACCATGTGCCACCAGGGCTCCTCAACAAGTGGATAAGGAAAGATAATTGGGAGTGGGGAGAAGGAGTAGGAAAGTATCCACTGAATGGTACACTGAACTACCTCCCTGTGAAGCAAGCCTCAGAGGCCAGGGAAAAACTGAGGGAGGTGCTCAGATCAGATACTAGGAACTGAGCTTGCTTTATCTCAATCCTCACTCCCAGTAACCCCATAAAGTAGCTATTGTTTTCCCTATGTTACAGTCAAAGACACTGAAGCACAAAGCTCACATCACTGGCTCAAGGTCACCCAGCTGAATATTTGGGACACCATGTCTCAGCTCTTGGCCCTGACGGAGATGCTACTTGGGGAGCTTGGGGAGCAGGGCAGGACTGTTTGCAGGCCTCAGGGCTGCAGAGGCAGCCTCCTCAGGTGAGCAGAAGGCTTGGAGGACCCAGATCAGGTTCTAGGAGAGGGGAGGGGCAGTGGGATGTCCTCTCCCAGCTCACAAACTTTCTCTGCAGCGGGGAGGATAGTGGAGGGGCTGTAGGGTCACTGCTTCTGGCTCCTGCCCCTCTTCTTCCCCCAGGGCAACCTTTAATCCTCCCCCACTCCTTCGCACAACTGCCTGTCCCCACGCATGCTCCCTAGCATTGTGTGAGCCACAGAGAATGCAGCAGACTGTGGAGGGCAGAGGCTCACGGACCATGTCGCATCAGCTGCTGCTGCTGCTACTGCTGCTACCTCACGCTCAGCAGGGACCTGCGCTCCCCACCCAGGTGCAGGGGTGGGACAGGGCACGAAGCCCATGCATGTGTTTACCTGAGCTACACTTCAGCTCTGACCTCTTCCCTTCTCTTCTCCTCTGGTCCTGTAGCAGGGTCTATCCCTCTATCTGTCTGTATATGTCCTTGCTCCAACTTTTTAATTTTCTCTTTCCGATAGAGGACCGAGGACTCTCCTGCCCTGCACCTCAGCAATGGCCCAGGACATGAACCTGTCACCATGATGACCTTTAACGTCACCAAGATCACAAAGTATGGAGTCAACCCAGCCCCCTGACCCGGTCCCCTGATCCTACACTCTTTCTCCATCGGCTCTTCTTTCCCTGTCTCCCTGTCCTTCTTTCTTTCTTTCTGAACTTCACCTCCCCAACCCCATATTTACCCCCAGAAGGGCACACCCATACAGTCCTTTTTTCTATGTCTTTCCAGAACCTTCTCTTCCTTTGAGCTTCGAACATGGGATCCAGAGGGAGTGATTTTTTATGGGGATACCAACCCTAATGATGACTGGTTTATGCTGGGACTTCGGGATGGCAGACCTGAGATCCAGTTGCACAATCATTGGGCCCAACTTACAGTGGGCGCTGGGCCCCGGCTGGATGACGGGAGGTGGCACCAGGTAAGCCAGCACTGGTCCTAAGGGGAGGGGTGTCTTGAGCTGTTCCAACGAAGGAGAATGGAACCGTTACTTAGTTATTAGGCATTACTTTATCATTGTCAGGTCACTTAATCCACATGATACTCCCATGAAGTAGCTACTCTTGTCCCCGTTTTTCAGATGGAAACTGAGGTTCAGTCTGCATGTAATTAACAAGCCCTGAGTGACCCAAGGATGCCAGCTGACTCTTAAAGGGCACGTTCTTTCCACTACACTAGGCTACCTTGGAAGAAAGTGGTGGAGGCAGGCCCCTGATTCTGCTTCTCTGCTCCTTCCTGCAGGTGGAAGTAAAGATGGATGGGGACTCGGTGCTTCTGGGGGTGGATGGGGAAGAGGTGCTGCGCCTGAGACAAGTTTCTGGGCCCCTGGCTGGAAAAGCCCAGCCCGTCATGAAGATTGCACTAGGGGGGCTGCTGTTCCACCCCTCCAACCTCAGGCTGCCGGTAAGATAACGGCATCACAGGGGTGGGAACCATGGCCAAGGCTGGCAAAGCGTCACTGGGTGGGTGGCCACGGGGGTTCTCGTCCACATTTTGAGAAGAGGGGACGGGATGAGAGCTGGGTGGGTAGACACAAATGTTTGTGTCTCTGAGGGCAAGAAACAAGATGGAGTGCCTGAGACTGGGGCTCAGATGCTCAGATTCCAACATCCCCACACCTTCTCTCCCCCTCCAGCTGGTCCCTGCCCTGGATGGTTGCCTGCGCCACGATGTCTGGCTGGGCCAGCAGGCCCAGACCTCAGCCCCTATCCCCACTAGCACCAGAAGCTGTGCTGTAGAGTCCCAGCCTGGGGTATTCTTCCCTCCAAGGGCTCATGCAGAATTCAGCCTCCGAGGTAAGGGCTATCTTCCCCTCTGTGGCAAGTTCGGTGTCTGCCTTCCTCAGTCTCCCTCCACTGCTAGCCACTCCCTCCGTGAAGCCCCAGTCTTGAGGCCTCAGGAGGATCCTTTCTCCCCCCAGGCATTCCCCAGCCTCATGCAGAACCCTGGGCCTTCTCTCTGGAGCTGGGGCTCCAACTGGCAGCAGGCGCTGGCCACCTCCTTGCTCTTGGGACTCCAGAGAACTCTCCTTGGCTCAGCCTCCGCCTCCAAGATCAAGTAAGAGGGGAACTGTGCCTGCTTTCAGTGGAGCCAGGAGCAGTGGCGGGAAAGGAGGCCCCCAAATTTCAACATTGGGAGGCTTAAGGGTGGCACTTTGGGGGCAGGGAAACATCTTGAAGCTACATATAGCAAGCAAAGAGCTTTTACTTAGATTGTGTATTTACTTGAGGGTGGGTGGGGTTTTATGGAGAGAGAACCAGTTGCCATTTAGCCAATTCCAACTCATGCTGCCCCCACGTGTGGCAGAGTAGAACTGTGATCCATAAGATTTTCAGTGACTGAATTTTCAGAAATAGATTGCCAGGTCTTTCTTCTGAGGTGCCTGTGGGTGTACTTGAACCTCCGACCTTTTGGTTAGTAGGTAACTGTGTGACCTGTTTGCACCACCCAGGGATTCCATAGAGAGTGAAGCTAGGAAAAGCAAGGCAGGATTAAAAAAAAAACAAAAAAAAACCATTGCCATCGAGTTGATCCCGACTCGTAGCCACCCTATAGGACAGAGTGGAATTGCTGCATAGGGTTTCCAAGTAGCAGCTGGTAGATTCAAACAGCCAAACTCTTTTTTTTTTTTTTTTAATTTATTTATTGTACTTTAGATGAAGGTTTACAAAACAAATTAGGTTTTCATTAAACAGTACAGATAATGTTTTATGATATCGGTTAACAACCCCATGACATGTCAATACTCTCCCTTCTTGACCTTGGGTTCCCTATTACCAGCTTTCCTGTCCCCTCCTGCCTTCTAGTCCTTGCCCCTGGGCTGGTATGCCCCTTTAGTCTCATTTTGTCCTATGGGCCTGTCTAATCTGTGGCTGAAGGGTGAACCTCAGGAGTGACTTCATTGCTGAGCTAAAAGGGTGTCCGGGGACCATACTCTCGGGGTTTCTCCTGTCTCGATCAGGCCAGTAAATGTGGTCTTTTTTTGAGTTAGGATTTTGTTCTACATTTTTCTCCAGCTCTGTCCAGGACCCTATATTGTGATCCCTGTCAGAGCAGTCAGTGGTGGTAGCCAGGCACCATCTAGTTGTTTTGGACTCAGCCTGGTGAAGGCAGTGGTAGTGGTGGTCTGTTAGTCCTTTGGACTAATCTTTCCCTTGTGTCTTTAGTTTTCTTCATTCTCCCTTTCTCCTGAAGGGGTGAGACCAGTGGAGTATCTTAGATGGCTGCTCACAGGCTTTTAAGACCCCAGATGCCACTCATCAGAGTAGAATGTAGAACATTTTCTTTATAAACTATGTTGTACCAATTGAGCTAGATGGTCCCTGAGACCATGGTCCCCATAGCCCTCAGCCCGGTAATTCAGCCCCTCAGGGAGTTTGGATTTGTCCATGGAGCTTCCATGACCTTACTCTGAACAAGTTGTGCTGGCTTCCCCAGTATTGTATACTATCTTACCTTTTACCAGAGTTACCGCTTATCTATTGTCTATTTAGTGTTTTTCCACCCCTACCCATCCCCTCTCTCGTAACCATCAAAGATTGTTTCTTTTTGTGTGTAAACTTTTTCATCAGTTTTTGTAGTAGTGGTTCTCATACAATATTTGTCCTTTTGTGATTGACTTATTTCACTCAGCATAATGCCCTCCGGATTCATCCATGTTGTGAGATGCCTCGCAGATTTGTCTTTGTTCTTTATCATTGCATAATACTCCACTGTGTGTATGTACCATAGTTTGTTTATCCATTCATCTGTTGACAAGCATCTAGGTTGTTTCCATCTTTTTGCTATTGTGAACAATGCTGCAATGAACATGGGTGTGCGTATGTCTATTCGTGTGATGGCTCTTATTTCTCTAGGATATATTCCTAGGAGTAGGATTGCTGGATCATGTGGTATTTCTGTTTCTAGTTTTCTAAGGAAGTGCTATATTGTTTTCCAAAATGGTTGTACTATTTTGCATTCCTATTAGCAGTGCATAAGAGTTCTGATCTCCCCAAAGCTTCTCCAACATTTGTTATTTTCTGTTTTTTTGATTGGTGCCAGTAATGCTGGGGTGAGATGGTATCTCATTGTGGTTTTGATTTGCATTTCCTCATGTGTCTGTTAGCCACTTGAATGTCTTTGGTGAAGTGTCTGTTCATTTCCTGTACCCATTTTTTAATTTGATTATTTATCTTTTTGTTGTAGAGGTGTTGGATTTTCCTGTAGATTTTAGAGGTTAGACCTTGGTCAGATTTGTCATAGCCAAATTTTTTTTCCCACTCTGTAGGTTCTCTTTTTACTCTTTTGGTGAAGACTTTTGATGAGCATGAGTGTTTACTTTTTAGAAGATCCCAGTTATCTAGCTTATCTTCTGGAGTTTGTATGTTGTTAGTTATGGTTTGTATCCAGTTAATGCCGTGTATTAGGGTCTGTAGTGTTGATGCTATTTTTTCTTCATGATCTTTATAGTTTTTGGTTTTATATTTAGGTCTTTGATCCATTTTGAATTAGTTTTTATGTATGGTGTGAGGTATGGGTAGTTTCATTTTTTTGCAGATGGACATCCAGTGTTGCCAGCACCGTTTGTGAAAAGACTGTCTTTTCCCCATTTGATGGACTTTGGGCCCTTGTCGAGGATCAGGTGACCGTAGGTGGATGCATTTACATCTGCATTCTCAATTCGGTTGCATTGGTCAATGTATCTGTCATTGTACCAGTACCAGGTTGTTTTGACTACCGTAGCTGTATAGTAGGTTCTGAGGTCAGGTAGTGTGAGTCCTCCTACTTTATTCTTCTTCTTCAGTAGTGCTTTACTTATCCAGGGCCTTTTCCCTTTCCATATGAAGCTAATGATTGTTTTTTCCATCTCTTTAAAAAATGTTGCTGGTATTTGGATCAGGATTGCATTGTATTTGTAGATTGCTTTGGGTAGAATTGTCATTTTCATAATGCTGAGTCTACCTATCCATGAGCATGGTATGTTTTTCCATTTATGTGGATCTCTTTTGGTTTCTTGCAGTAGTCTTTTGTCATTTTCTTTGTATAGGTCTTTTACATCCCTGGTTATATTTACTCCTAAGTATTTTATTTTGTTTTATTTATTTATTTATTTATTTTATTCTGTTATTCTGCTGAATCTATTAGTT